ACCTGGCAAGTCCCTCCACAGGGGACCATCAAGATGGGGCAAGGAGAGACAGGTACACGGCCTTCACTTCCGGTTCCTGTTCGACATATAACTATGAACAGCTCCTCTACAACCTTCAGAGCTCTATGTTCCATCCCTTTTCCCATGGCACCCCGGCTCAGACCTCCAAGGAGCCATAGTGCCCAGTTTAGGAACCCCTGAGCTAGGAGCGGACAACTTGTGACCCTTCAGATATTTCTGGCCTTGAACTATTATAATCCCTCACCACTGATTAAATTGGTAAACTGTAAACCAAAAACATCTGAACCTTCATAGCTGCCCACCTCTTTTGCATATAAATGTCTTTAATTTGCTTCACAGAATTCATGGTTGAGTGCTTACTATGGGACAAAGGTTTTGGGACGCAGCTGCTTAAATTCTGGCCCAAAGTAAAGCTGAGGGAGGGAAAGGATGGGGGGGGGGAAGGCTGCGAAAGAGAATGTTAAAAAACTAAAAGAGAAGAAGGGGGGGGAAGGATCCGTCCAGCTGGTGGTGTTTCCAAATGACTTTGAAAACAAAGGGGGGATTGCATTAGTTCAGGTGCTTGCAATGGTCCAGTGGAATGCTTAAAGCTTTTGCCAAGGAAATTATGTCAGTCGCAGCTAGGCCGCTGATATAAGATAGTTCCCTGGAGCTCATTCTGTTCTCAAGCAGCAATAACAGAGCTTTCAGCTCATCATCGACAGGGCCTCTTTTGTGCCTCTGCATTCTGCAGCCCTTTAATCATGGCGACTCACCAGGCTCCATGTCCCCAGCACGTTCTCCCTCCCTGCTTTCCCCCTCTTTCATGCATGGAAAACAAATAAACTTCACTTGCTTTTGTGAAGGAAGCTAATGGGAAAAGCAGCATGAAGTCGGAACACCGATAAAAACCTGGACAGGCCCAGATAGCACTAATTGAAGAGGAATATAGAGTGCTAGGCTGGCACTTCTAGTCTCTGCAATGTAGCTAAGCAGATGGCAAGTGTCTATTCTGTCCCCTTTCCTCCCTACACCTCTAATACAACTGGCAGAGAGCAATACTTGGAAAGATTTGGGTCTTTTTAACTTATAATTTTGAAAGACTTTTCCTAGCTCTCACAGAGAGTAATGCTTTCCTATTCAGGTTGTGCATCTGCTCAGTTGTCTTTCCACAGGTTGGGGCTCTTTCCATATTTCAAGTACAGTAGGACTGCAGTATCCACAGAAAGTTGATTCCAAGCCCCACCGTTTATATAGAGAGAGAGAGAGAGAGAGAGCAAGCATAGTCTCTAGTTCCCTTTAGTAGCCATTTCTGGTAAAACACCTGTAGCGAGCAGCCCTGCCCTCACCTGTCCATCACAGTAGAACAGTGGAGATGGAGCCAATGAGAGGACGGAAGGTGGAGCCAAGGGGGGGAGGGGGCTGGATATAAAGGCTGGTGTATGGAGCCTGGGAGGGAGATTCTGTAAGTGAGAGACAGTGTGAAACTTAAAAGTGAACTTAGAGTGAGCGAGATCTGTAAGAACTCTGAATGGAACAGAGTGTTAGTAGAAGTTTAAAGTTAACGTAGAACTGATTCAAATACAAGTGATTAGCAGCCTATAAGTTGCTTATTGAATATTAATCATATGTCAACTTCCCTGATATAATAAATCATTTAAGTTTTAAAAGCACACATGTCTCCTTGATTGAATGGTATTCAGACAGCAATACCTGGTGGCAGCAAAGAAAGAAGAGCAAGAACCTCATGAAGGCCTGGGGGAATAGGGGCTTCAGAGAAAATCGCCACAACACCTTGGAAACGCTTTTATCTGGAAGTTCAGTCATGGCAACTGGACTTCTTCCTTATTAAATTGAAATGTTTTGCCACTCATCCAAGTAGCTTCTTCAATCTGAGGAGAGTTGGTAGGAGTAGGTATCCTTCACTCTCCAGAGACTATGGTAACGTGCTCTATATGGAAGACTTGGAACAGCGTCTAGTGTGGCTGAGAAGACGAATTTGAGAGTGACAATCCCTTCCACACTAAAGACAAATACAATCTGCCCCCTGTCCAGCTGCCTGATTTGGCTGCTTTCATGACTGCCTCTTTACCTCCGCCTGCTGGACAAGGGTCTCTTCGAAATGGGAGAGGTCATGGTGCACACCGCCTGCCTCCAGGCTGAACGGTCAGATGTCAGGTTTTCCCATCTGTTGAGGTCCATTCCTAAGGCATTCAGATCCCGCTTGCAGATGTCCTTGTATCACAGCTGTGGTCTCCCTCTGGGCGCTAATTCTCCATACAGGAGATCTTTGGGAATCTGGCCATCAGCCATTCTCACAACATGCCCAAGCCAAAGTAGACGTCACTGTTTCAATAATGTATACATGCTAAAAATTCCAGCTTATTCTAGGACTACTCTATTTGGAACTTTGCCAATGTGTTTATCCAGCTTGACATCTAGGGAGAGAGTGTCAGAGATGGTTGAGCCAAGGTACACAAAGTCATGAACAACCTCCAATTCTTGCTTGGAGATGGTAATAGAGGGAGGTGAGTCCATGCCCTGGCCCATGACTTGTGTTTTCTTCAGACTGATTGTTAGTCCAAAGTCTTGGCAGGCCTCGCTAAAGTGATTCATCAGTTGTTGGAGGTCTTCAGCAGAGTAGTCAATAAGGGCTGCATCATTGGCGAAGAGAAAGTCCCGCATGAATTTCAGTTGAACTTTGATCTTTGCTCTCATTCTAGAGAGATTAAAGAGCTTTCCGTCTGATCTAGTCCGGAGATAGACACCTTCTGCAGCAGTTCCAAAGGCATGCTTCAGCATGACAACAAAAAAGATCCCAAACAGGGTTGAAGTGAGGACACAGCCCTGTTTCACATCCGCTTTGGATGTCAAAGGGATCTGATGTTGAGTCATCAGAAACTATAGTGCCCTTCATTTCCTCATGAAAGGACCTGATGATGTTTCCCTACAACGCTGAGGAGATACCACGGTAGTTATTGCAGTCGCCCATGTCTCCTTTGTTCTTGTACAATGTGACGATGCTTGCATCCTTCATGTCCTGTGGGACCCCACCTTCCCTCCAGCAGACAGCAGGTAGGACAGTTGGTAGGGGACTCCTCATACATCCTCCCCATTGTTTTCACTTCCTCCTGGTCTGAATAGGCTTGTTAGATGGACAATGGATGGGGGGGTGACAGAAAATCCCACCTCTGCAGTCTCACTGGATAAGACTCGCCTGAACATAAGATGGGCCAAGGGTCCCCGATCATAAGAGTGAGCTCGATGTATTATGTTCAAAATATGCCACCGTGAGCTCTCTTCTCACCAACGTCCAATTTACTGTGGAAACAGCATGACCAAAGTGTCACCACTTTCACGTTGAGCATGTGCATTTAGTGCATGTGTTTTAAAAAGTTATTAGTTCTTTGGAGATATCATCCTACCTTCTTCATTCTAACTACCGTATTTTTTGCACCATAAGATGCACTTTTTTTCTCTCCAAAAGGGGGGTAGAAAGTCTGTACGTCTTATGGTGCGAAGGTGGTGACAGAGTGTGTTCCATAAGACAGACCTCTCCATAAGGCTCACCAATTTTTAGGAGAAGAAAACAGATTTTTTCCTGTTTTCTTCTAAAAAATTGGTGTGTCTTATGGAGAGGTGTGTCTTATGGAGCGAAAAATATGGTAAAGGAGAAGTAGAAAACGGTAGTGATTTTACACATGTTTTAAAAAATATTGTGTTTAACTGCAAATTCTACCATCCTCCAACCAAAGGCCACGGTGTAAGGAGAGTATAAGACAGGGGTCTCAAACTCAATTTACCTGGGGGCCGCTGGAGGCAGAGTCTGGGTAAGGCTAGGCCGCATCAGATTTTCCACCAAGCAGAGCAAGAGCCCAAGGAAGCCGCCCAGGACTTTCCTCAGCCCGGCTGAGGCTCTGAGGAGGAGGAGGGACACGCAAGCCCTCGTCGCTGGCCTTGACCCCCTCCGGCTCCTTCATTACCACCACCACCAGCAGGACAAAGAAGCAGAGAAGGGAGGGCACGCCGGCGACCCCCTAGCTGGGGGGGAGGGCACAACATAAAATTTTAAAAACCCTCACAGAATCGTCTTGCCAAAGGAGAAAAGCCCCCATCGGTACCCACGAAATCAAACAGAATGGGTGCCCCCCATAGGTGCACGCGGGCAAACACACACAAACACACACACACACGGAGGTCCAGCAACCTTCCTCTGAGTGCCCCCCTCAAAAAAGGCGCACTCAGCAGCAGCAGCTACCCCCACCACGACAGAGGAGCAAACTTTGAGAGGCGAGCCCAGGCAGCCTCCAGAGCCGAGGCGGCTGAAGCAGGACGAAGAGGAGGAGGAGGAAGCACTGCCTGGCGCTGAGGCGGCCGCTGGCTGGGCTGGTGCTGAAGGTGCCGAGAGAGAAGGAGAGTCAGAAAGCCGTCTCCATGGAAGAGGTGGCAGCAGCAGCTGCTGTTGGCAGCTCTGTTGGAGGCGCTCTTTGAGGACAGGGTGGGAGTGATCTCTGCTCTCAGGCATTGCTCAGCAGCGGCTCAGGCGCTCGGGGAAAAGGGCTGGCAATGCGCCTCGCTCGCCGGCTCTCCCCCAAGATAGCACCTCCAGCACAACTGAAACTGCAGCTTGCCAGCCGACAGACAGGTGGGCTGGCTGGCAGGCTGCAGTTCTGGATGGACGGTGCAAGAGGTGCTGTCTTGGGAGAAAGCCGGCGAGTGAGGTGAGGCTTTTTTTGACTCTTGACAGCAGAGGATGTGTGGGCACTTCGGGGGGCAGGCAAGGTGGGGACCGCAAATTATTGTCCGGCGGGCCGCAAATGGCCCCTGGGCCGCACGTTTGAGACCCCTGCTATATTATACTTCGCAGAAAATTTACTGTAACCAAACTTCAAACTTCTAGAAGACGTGCTTTATTCTCTAAAGCAACAGAATTGGCTCTATTTAAAAGAATATTCAGGCAGCGCTAGGAACAAAATAATGGAAATTTAAAATTATATTACCTGCAAGGCCAGTTCGCTTGAGTTGAGGTCTAGGATCCCTCCGTCGGAAAGGCGAGACCGATAGTGTCCTGCTGGAAAAGGAGAATCCACTTTTGGAAGCCGATCCTCCCCTCTGCTTTCCATTTTGGATGCCTCTGGATGTTGTCTGTCCACTTCCATAGGGGCACGGTGTCCATCTTCGGACTCTGTTCTGGGACTGCCTTTGCTGCCTTTGCTTTCTTTCCCGCTGGGAGGAGTCCTGGTAATGACCCCAAACTTTCTAGTCCGTTTGCCACTTGGGGTTGTTTTCCCACTGGGCTCTGAGGTAGGCCTAGCTTTCGGCTCACTGCTGTTGCTATTGTTGCCATTTGCTAGAGGAAGAGGGGCCTTGCGCTTGATGCGACGAAGCATGATCAGGTAGATGAAGCCGCCATTCCAGCACTGATCAGCAAGGTAGCTGCAAGGGAAGTATAAAGACAGAGGGTTTAATAATGGCCCGTTGCTGGAAGGCCAATGTTGGAAAGAAAACCAGCAAAAACAAAGAGTTCCATGTGCAGGTCACAGCCTCAGAAGGGATAGAAACCAATTATTTTTAAAAATCACATTGATTTAAATCATGATTTAATTTTTTTAAAAACTTTTTTTTAAATTTAAATTGTAAAAAAAAATCCAATTTTAAAAATTGTAATCATTATTTAAATCAAATCCACCCTTCTGGTGGCACTCTGTGGATTTGATTACCATTCCTCTATACCTCTGAGCATTTGCCTGTTCTCTTCACCTTTCATAACGAAGGAGAATCATATACCCCTGCCCATTTGGAAAAGAAAACCCTCCATGTGAGTAAAGAAAAGGTAATAGTGTACCAACAGGTTGGCTACTAGGCCATTCAGATGACTCATAAAAGTACAATACTGGGACAGCAGTGCCATCTTCCAGTTCCCCTGACACTGAGTCTCATGTGGAAAAAAACACTGGATAAACATGACTAGTTTCAGACATTGCTAGTCTAATAGATATAGGATGATTTTGATCTTCAGTGGCCCTTAACTCTTGTGCACACAGCATCATAATAACTATACAGTATTCTAATGTCCTATGACAGTGGCAAAGATGCTGTGATGCCATATACTGTTTATGAACATTCTGACACCTTTGGGAATGAAAATGGTAGAGTATCAGATACTGTGAGCCTCAAATTAAAGATTCTGGGGATCAGATAGTGGTGCCTTATCTATGGTAACCTCAGAACAACTGGTCGTAGGAAGACATGAAGCATTTTTAAAATACAATGTAGTGTGAGTATAACAGTTGGTACATGAATGTACCAACAACAAGTTCCTAACGCAAATCTTATATCCAGCCCTGAACTGCTAGATAGTCTTTCCATCTTATCACTTCTTCTGCAATATGTTGCAGCCCTTATAATGAAAGACTTGCCTATAAGAAGATATAGGTTTGTTGTAAGGTAAAAAAAACTTGTGCGAAACTGTGAACTTGCTGCTTACCCACAGATTCCACACAAGGATTAAGTCTGAAGTTTCCACCCACTTGGTCTGGAATAAATCAGGTTTTAAGTGTTCTGCAAATAACTTCAGAGACATGTCCATGCATGCAATCCAGTTCTATGAATGACTGAAATCTCTTAATGCCAAGCAGCAAATGAGAATCGCTGAACAACAGGAAGTAGGCCAGAACCCATATCACTTCAGGCAATGAAGATCTATACAGATCTTAACATGCAAATGGAAAACAAGGTAGTGTACATGAGAAAGAGAAGACAGGCTGTGGCCCTTGTAAAGAGCCTGTACAAAATGCTAAAGCAAAAGAAATACCTGAAGCTACCACTGCTTTTTGAGCCATTAGCTCATCCCAAAGGAGACTGCGGCCAAGGAATCAGAAAAAAAACTGGGACTCAGAAAGGCAGTTATGCAACAATTAGAAAATATACTGAAGTGTAAGGATTTTATCACTGGAAACCAAGACCAAGGTCATCCATACTATGCTATTCCTGAATACTATGCGCAGATGTGAAAGTCAGAGAATGAAGAAAGGTGATAAAGAAAAGAACAATCAATTCAAAATGGTGTGTTGGAGAACAACTTTATAGATATCATGGACTTCTGGAAAGACTAGTAATTGGATGCTAGACTAGATTCATCCTGGACTATCTCTAGATGCAAAAATGACTAAACTGAGTTGTGTTTTGAATGTCAGAAGACCTGACTTGCTAGAAAGGGTAGTGATGCTCAGAAGAGTGGAAGGCAGCAGGGAAAGACTGAACATAAAATGGATTGACATAATAAAGAAATACACAGCCTTTAATTTGCAATACCTGATCTGCACTGTTAATGACAGGAACTTTTGAAGATTACTAATTCATATGGCCACCATGAACTGGAAGCAACTTGATAGCACATAACAGCAGCAGCAGCAGCAACTCATCCAGTGAGAGTTTAGAAAACTCAAACTTAGGTACTCATTCTCATACCCAATGATGTGTGCCCACATATTCAGTTGGAAACATGTTCTCCTCTCACACATATATACCATTGCTCTCACTGTCTCATACTCACTAACAGAAACACATCCCTAACTGAGAAGGCGGTTGCTAAGGCACTTAATCTTAGTAAGTTAGTAAGTTAAGGCACCTAGCTAAAATATGGAAATTAATATGGCACATCAAAACAATAAGAAGGAACAGCAGGCAGAGAGAAGTCTAGGCAGAAAATGCATTTTTGAACATGTTAATTAAAGCTTTGAGCTAAGGGGTAAGAGGAAGGAGAAAACAGACCTTATCTCTCACTCGAGTTAAGAGCAAGCTTTCACTAAAAGACTTCAATCATAAAATATACCATTATCATTACTCACGTGCATACACATGATTGCCTTTATGCAGATCTGATTTTCTACTGATTTCACTGGAAATGTTTTTGTCCCCACCTCCCCCTACATACCTTCTTTTCAACAATTCCCTGATAGCTATCAGCAAACAAATGTCTCGGAAGGTTCCCTAAGCTTTGTGACAGCATACTGTAATAAATCTATGCAAATTACAGTAATCAAAATTGTCAGATTGTGTGATTTTTCTCCCCCTTCACCATGGCATTGCAACACACCCCTGCTATTTAGCACCACGTTTAGCTGTTTCCTTTCATCATTATAAAATCTGGATATTCTTAACACCCCAACTCTACCCTTCCCACCTCTTCAAATTATTTATTTTAAATGCTCTTAGTATTTTTTAAAAATCCTTAAAAATCAGGAAGTGGGACCGAGAAACCCCACACTATCTTCTATTTTGCTCTATTATTTTGTCCTTTTCTTGTGTTAAATATTATCAGGGCTTTGATGGGAGGATTCTCAAGATCCATCCCCTCTCTTCTACATGTGTACTTCATACTACTTACAACAACAATATGCTCTGAAGTTGATTCTGACTTTTAGGGACCCTTTCCAAGGTATTCTAGCCATAGAAAACTCAGAAGTGGTTTACCATTCCGTTCTTCTGTGGTGCCCTGGGACTGTACAGCTTGCCCAAGACTTCTCACACTGGCTCTTCTTGTGGGACACACAGTGTGTAATTAGATTATAGGTAAAAGCAAAAAGAAATAAAAAATAAAAAAGACAAAAACATAGTGGCACCTTAAAGACTAACTTTGTATCTTTTTAATGTGAACTTTCATGGACAAGTCCACTTCAACAGACATAAGAGAAGAGATTAACATGGCAAATATTTATACATGGCATCAAAATCTAGATATCAAAATACAGAGATTGTGGCTGGTTGGGTAATTCTAAGATTCTAAGAACTGAACTTCATCATCTGATTCCACAGTCACATACCTGAGTCATTGTTCCCTTCAAAATGACAATCTCTCTCCATTTTTACTTCAACGTAAATGTCACAAAGCAACACAACACCAAAGTCAACACTCCTGCGGTCTAATCAAGCGTCAAGAGCTGGATGACTCAAGAGCAAGGAAGGACAGATTAGTCTATTTCCTATCTATCAGTTCCTCATTTTGTCTTCCTTGAATTGTTAAATTGTTTCAAAGCATTTTAAAGTATTTGAATTGTTCTATACAGTACTGTTTTCATGCTGTTTTATTGATTATATCCTGCCCTGAAGACCCCAGATACAGGATAGGCTAGAAATTATTTAATTTTTTAAAAAATCTGTCAATCAGAAGTGTAAGAGAAGAATTTTGAAAGGTGCATAATAACCTGTTTGTAAACCACCTACAGAATTTTTTGATTGAAAAATGGGATGTACATGTTTCCTGAATAAGCAAATAAGCAGGTTGCTTGCGTGTTGTCACACTGTGTTAGTACATCAGCAATCTGTGACCCAGAAATAAATTGTACTGGCATAGGTGCCAGTGACCGAAATATGACACTGAACATGTGGAACCCAGCATGGTAAATTTCCTTCAATTTATCTACCCAGCGTCACAACTAAACCAGACCTTGCCTACTGCTCTTCGGAGACTGAAAATCAAGAATCTGGCACTTGTGAGGTCATTGCGCAAAATAATGCAAATAAAGCCTGGCCTCAATAAAATTTCTGTTCTCTTCACCCAGCCGTTAAAGAAACAGATGTTTCTCAGCGTAGGACTCCACACTGCCATTTGGGCACTTTACAAGGTACCGGTTTTGTCTTTCAAGTCTCCGCTTGCCAGACCAACCTCTTACTCTTCTGTATTCCAATCAGCTGGTTACGTGAAGCTCCTCCCCAAACACCCCATGTATGGACAACCAGAACATGCTTCTGAGGCACTTCCCACTTAGCACCCCACAACGATGACTCTTTTTCTTCCCCCTTAGCATGCTGCTCAAAACAAGCCGTTTTGTATGCTGAGAAATGAATCTCACACCAGCATTTTTAAACAGCAGAGTCTCAAGGGGCCTCTTCACACTTAACCTTTTTCTTCTTCTCCTTTCTCACCTTTTGCTGGAGTAAATTATTAACTCCCAGCCAGACCTGAGCCAGAACTTGCAAATCGCTAGTTACTAGCAGCATAATGTTTCTCCAATAATGATGGTGATTACATTACATTATAATGTGACAGCCAGAATCCGGTTGGTGTTCATGTAAGATTTACATAACTTGCCACAACTAACTGATGCTCATTAATGATGTCTTGAGGTGTGTTTCTGTCCTGGGCCTGGTCACATGCACAACTGTGCAACCTCACTGCACTCTGGCACATCATCAATTAGCCGCAACAAATTACATAAAACCTTATGTGAGCATTAATAGGATTCTGTTGAATGGATGATACCTTCACTCGCTTTGTGGTGTAACTGGACTTCTTCAGATGTCCAGAGTGTAGCTTCAGTAGACAGACATTTGTACACGGACATGGAGTGGGCAGAATGTGACATGTAACAGAAACGCAAACAGTACGTGTATAAATGTCTGTCTACAGAATGTGACATGTAACAGAAACGCAA